ATCTTGACTTTACCACCTATATTTGAGTGACAGTTCATTAAACATTGTAGCCCTTTGAGCCTCAGTTTATTTGTATCCCATAGGCATACAGTAGACATGACTACCTACTTCTTAATGTATTGTGAAGGTCATGAGTTCAGGTCCATAGAGAGCTTAGAAGTATATCCAGCACAGAATAGTTTTCCTCTTTCTCTACGTGTTTATATTCTTTCTACTGACTTATTTCCATACTTCTCCATAGGTGTTTAAGGGCAATCAGGATTTTCAATCTGGACCTTGTTTTCACACAAGAGAGATGCATGGTTCAGAGATCATTAAAATTGTGTTTCATGTGAAGAACAAAGTGGCAGAAATGAGACTGACATGTTAGGAGATTCTGAAGTAAGTCTCTAGAATCAGCTTTTGAATTTTAGTAAACAACTTGAGATGTAATGAAACATTCAACCTTAGCCAAAGACTTAAGTTATAGTGAGTAAACCTAATGTGTAAAGTAGTTGTTATTGCTTCTTTAAGCAAAGGCTCCACTTGATAAAAAGAAAAGGAAGATTTCCAAATACATACATTCATACATTTATATGTATACACACACTTATATATATGTATATGTGTATATATACACATATATAATGTGTGCACATGTATGCTTATGCATGTGTGTGTACATGCCTGTGTGCTTTGAAAATTTTAAACATAAATAAAATAATTTTTCACATAATTCAAAAAACTTGCTAACAAATGAAGTAGGCATTAGTTCTTTCATCATAATAACTACTTTATTGCTAGATGTGATGGCATGTACTTGTAATCCCAGTTCTAAGGAGGTAGAAGCAGTAAAAGAAGCACTCGGTCATCCTCAGCTACATAGTTAATCTGAAGTCAGACAGAGCTACAGAAGACTGTGTTGATGCAGAGAGAGGACAAGTAAAAATTCCAGGTCACCCTGGTCTACATAGCATGACCCAGCCTCAAAACAGAGGAAACAGAATCAATACCATTCTAACACACTTATTATTCATCCATTTTAAAGACCATGCCTCCACTAGGTGCCCACATGAAGAAACTGGAGAACTGTCATACTAGAGAATTAATAGCACAGCTGAATGTTCTAGAAGAAAAAGAAGCAAACTCACCCAGGAGGAACAGACTCCAGGAAATAATCAAATTGAGGGCTGAAATCAATCAAATAGAAACCAGGAGAACATTGAAAAGAATAAATGAAACAAAGAGTTGGTTCTTTGATAAAATCAACAAAATAGACAAACCTCTGTCCAAACTAACCAAAAGACAGAGAGAGAGCATGCTAATTAACAAAATCAGGAATGAAAAAGGAGACATAACAACATACTCTGAGGAAATCCAGAGAATCATCGGGGCATACTTTGAAAATCTGTACTCCACAAAATTTGAAAATTTAAAGGAAATGGATAATTTCCTGAATAGATATCACTTGCCAAAACCAAATCAAGAGCACATAAACAATCTAAACATAACTATAACCCTTAATGAAATAGAAGCAGTCAACAAAAGTCTCCCAAATATAAAAAGCCCAAGACCAGATGGCTTCAGTGCACATTTCTAGCAGAAATTCAAAGAAGAGCTAATTCTGATACTCCTCAAAGTATTCCACACAATAGAAGCAGGAGGCTCACTGCCAAACTCTTTTTACAAGGCTACAATTACCTTGATACCCAAGCCACACAAAGACACAACTAAGATAGAGAACTATAGTCCAATTTCCCTCATGAACATCGATGCAAAAATACTCAATAAAATACTAGCAAATCGGATTCAAGAACACATCAGAAAAATCATCCACCATGAACATGTAGGCTTCATCCCAGGAATGCAGGGATGGTTCAATATTAGAAAATCTATCAATATAAACAAACTGCGAAAGAAAAACCACATGAACATCTCACTAGATGCTGAAAAAGCCTTTGACAAAATCCAGCACCCCTTCATGATAAAGGTCCTAGAGAGATCAGGGATAACAGGAACATACCTGAATATAATAAAAGCAATATACAGTAAATCAACAGCTAACATCAAACTAAATGGAGAGAAACTCAACGTAATTCCTCTAAAATCAGGAACAAGACAAGGCTGTCCACTCCCTCCATATCTCTTCAATATTGTACTTGAAGTTCTAGTTACAGCAATAAGACAGAAAAAGGAGATCAAGGGGATACAAATAGGAAAAGAAGTCAAGCTTTCACTATTTGCAGATGATATGATAGTTTATATAAATGACCCAAAAAACTGCCCAAGGGAACTTCTAGAGCTGATAAACACCTTCAGCAAAGTTGCAGGATACAAGGCAAACTCAAAAAAAATCAGTGGCCCTATTATATACAGATGATGAACTGACTGAGAAAGAAATCAAAGAAACCTCAACCTTTACAATAGCCATAAACAGCATCAAATATCTGGGGATAATGCTAACCAAGGAAGTGAAAGACCTGTATATCAAGAACTTTGAGTCTTTAAAGAAAGAAATCAAAGAGGATACCAGAAAGTGGAAAGATATCCCATGCTCTTGGATTGGTAGGATCAACATAATAAAAATGGCAATCTTGCCCAAAACAGTCTACAGATTCAATGCAATCCCTATCAAAATTCCGGCACAATTCTTCACAGACCTGGAAAAACAAAAGGCCTAGGATAGCCAAAACAACCCTATACAATAAAGGAACTTCAGGAGGCATCACCATAACTGACTTTAAGCTCTATTATAGAGCTATAGTCCTGAAAACAGCTTGGATTTGGCACAAAAATATGCAGATTGACCAATGGAACCGAATTGAAAACCCTGATTTTAACCCACACACCTATGAACACTTGATTTTTGACAAAGAAGCTAAAACTATACAATGGAAAAAAGAAAGCATCTTCAACAATTGGTGCTGGCATAACTGGGTACTAGTATGCAGAAGACTGCAGATAGGTCCATGTTTATCGCCTTGTACAAAACTTAAGTCCAGATGGATCAAAGATCTCAACATAAATCCAGCCACACTGAAAACTTTAGAAGAGAAAGTGGGAGATACTCTTCAATGAGTTGGTAAGGAGACCACTTCCTGAACATAACACCAGTGGCACAGACACTGAAATCGACAATTAACAAATAGGACCTCATGACACTAAAAAGCTTCTGTAAGGCAAAGGACACCGTCAAAAAGACAAAAAGGCAGTCCACAGAATGGGAAAAGATATTAACGAACCCGACATCTGACAGAGGGCTAATCTCCAAAATATACAAAGAACTCAAGAAGCAAGTCTCCAAAACACCAAAGGATCCAATTAAAAGGTGGGGTACAGAACTAAACAGAGAATTCTCAATAGAGGAGGCTAAAATTTCCAAGAGATACTTAAGAAAGTGTTCAACATCCTTAGCCATCAGGGAAATGCAAATCAAAACAACTTTGAGATACAATCTTACTCCTGTCAGAATGGCTAAAATCAAAAACACTGAAGACAGTTTATGCTGGAGAGGATGTGGAGAGAGGGGAACACTCCTCCACTGCTGGTGGGAGTGCCGACTCCTACAGCCACTTTGGAAATCAGTATGGAGATTCCTCAGGAAAATGGGAATCAATCTACCACAAGACACAGCAATTCCTCTCTTAGGCATATATCCAAAAGAGGCAAATTCATACAACAAGGGCATCTGCTCCACTATGTTCATAGCAGCATTATTTGTAATAGCCAGAACCTGGAAGCAACCTAGATGCCCCTCAACTGAACAGTGGATAGAGAAAATGTGGTACATTTACGCAATGGAGTATTACTCAGCAGAAAAAAACAATGGAATCTTGAAATTCCCAGGTAAATTAATAGCACTGGAAGAAACCATCCTGAGTGAGGTAACCCAGTCACAAAAAGACAAACATGGTATGTACTCACTCATACATGGATTTTAAACATGGATCAGGAGAGTGCCAGTCTGCACTTCCAATGACAGGGAGTCTGGGAAACAGCAAAGAACATAAAAGATATGCATGGTACCCAAGAGAAGAGAAATGAGGCAAGATCCTCTGAATAGATAGGGAACAAGGCAAGGGGTGGGGGGAAGGGGGAGCTGGGAAATGGAGAGGGGGATAAGAGGAAGAGAGAGTAGGTCATGGGGGAACAGGAAGGTTGACTGGGGGGGTAGGATAGGGGGAATAGGGAATCATAGGTTAGAAGACAGATCAGGCACCATTGTGACCTCTAGTGATTTAAAGGGATGACACCAATTGGCAAGCTAAGCAATAGTGTAGAGACCACCCAGAATGCCCATTCCTGATAATGAACTTGATGTCTATAACCATCCTGGAGCCTTCATCCAGTGACTGATGGAAGCAGAGGCAAACACCCACAGTTAAACACTGAACTGAACCCACGGAACCCAGTGACAGAGAGAGAGAGGTGTGATGAGCAAATTGGCAAAGAATGGGCTGGCAAAAACAGCAGAGACAGCTGATTCGAACAGGAGATAGCTCTTGGACCCCAGACCGACAGCTCAGAGGCCAGCATGGGACTGATCTGGACCACCTGAACGTGAGAGTCAGTGAGGAAGCCTGGGCTACCTATGGGGTCCTGGGCAGTGGATCAGTGTTTATCCCTGGAATACTAACAGGCATTGTGTGTCCATAACACAAAGAGGGATGCTCTCTCAGCCTGGACTCTTAGGGGAGTGCCTGGACCCTACCCTGAGTGAAATGACAGACTCTAGATATCCCCTATGTGGAAGGAATTGGCAATAGGGTGGGAGGATGGGGGGGGATGACGAAGGGGTGCTGGAGGAGGGGGAGGGAGAGGGAACTGGGATTGACATGTAAAACAAGCTATTTAAAATTAAAAAACAAAGACCATGCCTCATACTTTTGTGGAACAGAACTGGTGATTTCAAGTGAAGAAGCCATATCTTCTAACCACACTACAATTTCTCTGACATATATCATTTCAAAAATGACTTTTGTTAAACTTACTCCCCATACAGGTTGCCACTATTAAGCCCAATGGAGAAAGTCAACCACACTGCAAAGACCCAGGTTACTGAGTTTATTCTCTTAGGACTCACAAACAGCCCCAGCCTCAAGGCACCACTCTTTGGAATATTTTTAATCATATACTTGATCCCACTGATGGGCAATCTGGGCATGGTTATTCTGACTCATTTGGAATCTAAACTTCATACTCCTATGTACTTTTTCCTGAGACAGTTATCAATCGCTGATCTTGGTTACTCCACAGTTATAGGTCCAAAAATAGTGATAAGATTTGTTTTGCAACACAGTACCATTTCTTACACTTGGTTTGCTGTACAATTGACATCCTTTGAGATTTTCATCATCACTCAACTATTTATCCTTTCAACTACGGCCTATGATCACTATGTAGCCATCTGCAAACCTCTTCTCTATGTGATCATCATGTCAGGGAAAGTACGTTGGGCACTGGTACTGGTACCCTATCTCTACAGCATATATGTGTTGGAAGAAATATTTCCAAGAAGACAAAGCTACTGTTTTTTTATTCCTTGAAAGTTTACATTGCGTTTAGATTGTACATACTCTTAGTCTTTCTAGCAACTCCTATTGGACCATCTCCTTCACAAAATCAATTTTATTCCCTTCTTCCCCCTTCAATTAATTGTTTATAACCTAGTGAATATTTTGAATTTTTTGTTTAGTAAATGGGAATGTTAGTGAGAAATCATGAAAAGGAAGGGAAAAGGGAGAAAGGAAGGGAGAAGAAAGAGGAGAAAATGGAAGAGCATAAGGAATAAGGAGAGAGAAGAGGGGAGAGAAAATATGAATGAGAGATCAAAATATCAATAGTGCAGGAGGTCACACACAGGTTTTCAACAGATAAAGCCAAAACAATCTTAGGTGAAAAATGTAAATATATAAATTTTAAAGCATTTTCTTACCTAGAAGATACAATCCCATGCTATTTTAAGTAATTGTTTACATACTTTATAAGTAATGAGTAACAGACAATGTTTCCATACAGCACAGTTACTGTTGATTTGTATCTAAACTCTGCACTCAGGGAATGGCCTGATAAGTCATTTTATGTGAGTTTATCTCAGTGGTTTACTTCCAAATAGTACACTATTCAAAGTAAAAGTGCCACATGGCAGTGGAGAAAATTGACGAGAACTAACTCAGCTAAGACGTAGATTAACATAGCCAATGATAAGTCAAGTCTCCAATGGGTCTTTCATTATGATGTGAACCAGTTAGCAATCTATTACATATACCTCTTTACCTAAGCCTGTAATACTAATTCAAGTATGAGAAAGACTGAGAAGAAGCCCAACAGAGTAGCATTGCAGAAAATACTACCCAGTATATTTCCCAAATACCCATAGCATACAGAGAAAATGGGACAGCACAGAGAACATTAAGGAGATAGACTAATTGCATGACAATTTTGGATGGGATGTTTGAGCCTAATGGATATAAAACTAAATTCTGAGTAACAGATGTAGTCTTTGAATGGTAACTAAAGTATTTGATGTTCATCAAACATACTTTTGAGACATAATGTGGCATCCTTTCATTTCTCCCGTCATCATATGGACTTTTATCTTAAAATAAAATCTAGAGCCTGAGGATGTCACTGTACTGGTGAGGTGCTTATTAATTATGGATGAAGCCCTAGGTTTGATCTCACCATTGCTTTGGATGTGAAGCACAGTTCATGAAATTAGACTTGGATTCAGAATGTGTTTTCTTTTTCTCTCAGAAGAGGCTGCTGACAAAACAATTCCATATTAAAACAGTTAAGAGTAAAAAAGTAGTATAAATTCAACACTTACAAACCACTGTGCACACTTGGACAAACCACATCCCCCTCCCATGCACATACACAACCACACAATACAAAAATCTTATATATTGCACGTTACAGATGATTGACACTTCATTAAAAATTCAGACCTTCTGTTTGTGACAGCACACACTTATAACTGGAGCTCTGAAGAGGAAGATCAAAAGTTTTAGTCAGCCTTTTACAAAAAATTGAAAACTGCCTATATGTCAAATTTGTGGCCCTTAATGAGTAGAATAATTCATGAAACCTCAAATCATAAATTGTATCACTAAAAAGGAAATATATTATGTGAGAAATTTAAAAACACAGACTTCACATTTCTTAGCTATGTTGATGTGTGTTTTTGTTTCTAGACAACATGTTGTGTTTTTATTTTTCAGTGATTTATCTGATGTTTACATTTATCAAGATAAACATTTGGAATTGTATCAAATATGTATTTAATTAATGGGATTATGATTATCTGAAGTTACAAAGTCTCTAAATTACTTAACATAATTACATTATTTAAATTGCCCTATCACTTATAAGGGAGTGGTTTTACTTATCATTCCCCAGTAATAACTCAGAAGGGAATAACAGATTAATAACAGTGTTTCACTGCAAATCAGCCCAGTCAGTGGGAGAAGGCATGTTTTTTTTATTTTAAGAGCCTGATAATTAGAATTCATATAGGCAAACTTTACAAACTTAAATCATGCAACCAAAAAATGCACTGTAGAGTGAATACTGATTCTTCTTTAATGTGAATGAACACTGGAGTTCTCTGAAGGTGAACTGAAGTGTTATACAGCATGCTGGATTCAGTACCCTGGCAAAGTGGTTTGAATAAGAATGTCTCCATAGTCTTGGACATTTCAACATTTGGTCCCCATTTAGTGATGTTGTTTGGTGCTGTGCTAGAAGAAGCAAGTTACTGGGTCAGTCCTTTGATATTTAAAAGCCTTGTGCTGTTTCAAGTTTAATCTTTCATTTCTTTCTTTCTTTTTGTATGCCTTCAAAGACATCAAACTTAGCTGCTATTCTTGAAGCCATCTTGCTACCATATCTTTCTGCTATGATGGAGTTTTACTCTCTGAAGACAAGCCAAAGTAACCTGTTCCTTTTTGAGGTTTCTTCTGATCATTCTGCTTTATCACAGCAACAGAAAAGTAACTAACATTCTTGGGCAGACCACTCTACGCATTAATGACATGGTTGTAAGAACAGATGTCTCTTAGTTGATTACTTAATGTAGGAGGCAAATCTACCCCACTCACTAAAATATCATCCTTTCTGTCAAAGTTAATTCTGATCATTACACCATTATGATATAAAAACAAACATTTCAAAACAAACAACTCTATTTACCAAGTTGAAAATCACAGCAGATTTCTAACTCATCCCAAATTTCATATCCTATATTCAAGGCCTACCTAGAAAACACATTTTTTGAAAAATAAAGAAAAATGAAAGGATGAACACAACTGCCAAACTTGCAGGTGTTCACAGACTCTAAACCAACAGCTTGAGAACATGCATGGAACTGAACCAGGCTCTCTGCACGCGGGTGACACTTTGAAGCCTATTCTGTTTGTGGGACCCCTGGTAGTGGAACCAGGATTTATCTCTAGAGCATGAGCTGTCTTTTAGAAGCCCATTCCATATGGTTGGATGCCTTGCTCAGCCTTGATGGGGGAGTAGGACTTGGTCATGCCTCAAATGGATATACCAGACTTTGTTGACACTCAATGGGAGGCCACATTTTCACTTATCTTTTTTTCATCTGTCTGTTGCCTATGGTTCAAAATTACTTTGTTAACATGTAAAAGAGATTCGAATCATATGTGTCCCCAGGGAATTATCCTAAAATGTTATTGCTGATGTCACTGGAAAACAGAACTTGATTGGTTTTAATAAGTCTTAGGATCTCAAGATGAGAACTAAATATTAGTTTATTTAGTAAAAAAAGAAAAATTGAAATAATTCATTATTCCTTGAAAGATATTAATTTCTACACATACTGGCTAGCTTTGATGTAACAACACAAATTACACTCATCTAGAAGAAAGGAATATTATTGAAAAATGTCTTCATAGGATTGACCTGTAGTCAAATTTGGATTATCATTGTTATTATTAATTTTTGATTGATGATTGATGTGGCAGGGACCATATCTCTGTTACATTGGATGGTATAGCAATGCAGGTTGAGAAGTCATGAGGAGCCTACCAGTATGCAGACCCCATCTTCATCTCTGTTACAGTACCAGTCTCTAATACCTGCCCTGAATTTGTGATTGACTGTGATCTGCACAGAAATGATCAAACAAACCTTCTCTTACAAAGTTTTAAGTTATGTCATTTATCACAACAATATAAACCTTTAGAGATGATATTAGATGGTTAATGTTTGTGATCCCAACCTAAAGATTCAGAGCTGGGAGTAGCATGGGCTAAATAGCAAGACCTTGTTTCATAAGAAACCAAAAATAAGTAAATAAATAAAAGAATAGAAAAAGAAAACATGTATTGGTGTATTCTATATACATAAAAGCAGACTGGGAAACACATCTCTTTAGGGTATAGTAAAGTATTAGGTACCACTTGTGTCATTCAAAGTGTAAATACATCCTTTGGATTTTTCCTAACTCCTATAGATGTCCTGAAGATTCATGGATCAGACAAACTGCACCCACGTCACACATTTCATTCTTGTGGGCCTCACAGATCATCAGGAACTGAAGATGCCCATCTTTGTGGTATTCTTATCCATCTATCTTTTCACAGCAATAGGGAACCTGGGATTGATTCTAGTCATTAGAGTAGATGCAAGACTCAACACGTCCATGTACTTTTTCCTTAGCAACCTGGCTTTTGTTGATTTCTGCTACTCTTCTGTCATTACACCCAAGATGCTGGGGAATTTCCTGTATAGCAAAAATTTCATATCCTTCAATGCATGTGCTGCCCAGTTAGGCTGCTTTCTCACATTCATGGTATCAGAGTGCTGGTTACTGGCTTCCATGGCATATGATAGATATGCAGCCATTTGTAACCCTCTACTATATATGGTCACAATGTCCCCCGGAATCTGCATTCAGCTTGTAGTTGTGCCCTATAGCTATAGCTTCCTGATGGCATTGATTCACACTCTTCTCACCTTCTGCCTGTGCTATTGTCATTCCAATATCATCAATCACTTCTACTGTGATGACATGCCTCTTCTCAGACTAACTTGCTCAGACACTCACTACAAACAGCTCTCTATTTTGGCCTGTGCTAGAATCACATCCATTTCTTCTGTTCTGATTGTTTCTATCTCCTACATGTTCATTTTTTCTGCCATTCTTAGGATACACTCAGTTGAAGGAAGACGCAAAGCCTTTTCTACCTGCAGCTCCCATATGATGGCTGTAAGCATCTTCTATGGAACTCTTATCTTTATGTACTTACAGCCAAGTTCTGACCACTCTCTTGATACAGATAAGATGGCCTCTGTCTTCTACACAGTGATCATCCCCATGTTGAACCCCTTGATCTATAACCTCAGGAACAAGGATGTGAAAGATGCCCTGAAGAAAGTCATCAACAGTAGAAACTGGACTTCTGTGTTTAGAGAACTAAGAAAAGATTTTTAATAAACAAACATAGATATTCACCCTTGCTCTTTTCCCCCAATATTGCGAAATTCAAGATGTCATTTTTTTTCTTTTTTTTTGGTTTTTCAAGACAGAGTTTCTCTGTAATGTTTTGGAGGTTTTCCTGGATCTAGCTCTGTAGACCAGGCTGGCCTTGAACTCACAGAGATCTGCCTACCTCTGCCACAAGAGTGCTGGGATTAAAGACATGCGCTGGCAAAGCCCAGCTTTTTTTTTTTTTTATTTAAGTTAGAAACAAACTTGTTTCACATGTCAATCCCAGCTCCCTCTTCCTCCCTTCCTCCCTCACCCTCCCCACCAGGTTCCCCCAAGTCCTCCACCCAATCTCCACTCGGATCCCCAGGGAGGGTGAGTCCCTCCATGGTGGATCTCCAGTAACTATCATTTCATCCAGGGCAGGGTCTAGCCCCCCCCCCAAGAGTCCCGGCTGAGAGAGCATCCCATATTGTGGCATGGGCACTCAAAATCTATTTGTATGCCAGGGATAAATACTACATAGATTACCTAAGCCTCCTCACTGATACCCACATTCAGGGGGTCTGGGTCAGTCCCATGCTTTCCACACAGCCATCAATCTTGGGTCCAAGAGCTCCCCCTTGTTCAGGTCAACTGTTTCTGTGGTTTAAACTAGCCCAGTCTTATGCCAAGCAATACTCCATTGTGTAAATATACCACATTTTTTTATCTATTCTTCAGTTGAAGGACATATAGGTTGCTAGCCAGGTTCTGGCTATTACAAATAATGCTGCTATGAACATAGTTGAACAGATGTCCTTGTTGTATGAATGTGCATCCTTTGGGTATATGCTTAAGAGTGGAATTACTGGGTCTTGTAGTAGACTGATTCCTATTTTCCTTAGGAATAGCCATACTGATTTCCAAAGTGGCTGTTTGAGTTGGCACTCCTACCAGCAATAGAGGAGTGTTCCCCTTTCTCCACATCCTCTCCAGCATAAGCTGGCATTGATATTTTTGATTTTAGCCATTCTGACAGGTATAAGATATTATCTCAGAGTTGTTTTGACTTCCATTTCCCTGATGGCTAAGGATGTTGAACACTTTCTTAAGTGTTTTGCAGCCATTTTAGACTCCTTTATTGAGAATTCTCTATTTAGTTCTGCACCCCTCTTTTTAATTGGATTATTTGGTGTTTTGGTGACTAGCTACTTTAGTTGTTTTTATATTTTGTAAATCAGGCCTCTGTCAGATGTGAGGTTAGTGGATATCTTTTCCCATTCTTTGGGCTGCCGCCTTGTCTTGTTGACTGCGTCCTTTATCTTAGAGAAGTTTCTCAGGTTCAGGAAGTCCCATTTATTAATTGTAAATCTCAGTGCCTGTGCTACTGGAGTTATGTTCAGGAAGTGGTCTCTTGTACCAATTTATTCAAGGTCCCTCCTACTTTCTCTTCTAAGTGGTTCATTGTGACTGGATTTATGTTGAGGTCTTTGATCCATTGGACTTAAGTTTTATGACAGATATGGATCTATCTGTAGTCTTCTACATGCCAGCATCCGGTTATGCTAGCACCATTTGTTGAAGATGTTTTCTTTTTTCCATTGTTATAATTTTAGCTTCAAAACTAATTTAAAAGGTTAAAAACAATACTAAACAAAACAATGAAACCACTTTTAACTTTTTTAGTGAATATAAATATAGGCATTGTTACTAAACAACAGAAATAATATAACAATGAAAAATCAGGAAAAGATGACAATCCCCAAATCAGTATATTAGAGCAATGACATGATAAAAGAGTTTAAGATCTGTGGTTTATACAAGCCAAACAGTTACATTAATTATTTCTCAACTGATTTGGGGTGTCTAACTGGCATAGACAGTAATTTTTCTTGATAATCTTTCTTACATCATTCTTCTAAGTAGATCCTTTGGGATAGTGTCACTGTTAAAAACCTGTATTTTGTTGCTGCCCAAACGTCACATGCAGAAGAAATAAAAACTCCTGCTTTTCAATTAAGCTCAACAAACATGTTTTGACATTAATTCTTCCTTCCTTCCTTTCTTCCTTTCTCAGCATGAGTATTCAACCCATAAGAAAATTTCACATCTATGCTTTAAGGAGGAGCTTATCTCTTATTTTATATTTCAGTATCTTAGCCAAGCAATTCAAAATTAGAAACAATATCACCAGTGCATGCCATTGCCCTAATGTAAACACTAGCCTTAATTTTAATGCTATATTATCATTATAATAAAAATAGAGCAGACATGCCAGTGCAGACAGAGGGAAGCCACCAAGGCCTCACCTCTATAAAAAGGAATACGGGTACCTAAATAATGCTGAAAGTAGGAGACATAGGCTCCCCAGTGTCCCGCGCTACCATCTCGCCAGCAAGAACGACGCAGGACACTCGGATCCTTCTGCAGTAAAGCTTTAATACATCTTGAGAGATAGATGATCAGCTTCTGAGAGGGAGACCCCAAGCTAAGAAACCCAGCCCCTTATATAAGCCTAGGAGCTCCGAGTGAGATGTGTAGAGCCGGGATTGGTGGTTTGCTCATCACCCCAGATGACGCCACGGGAGAGGCACAGCTTAAACGGTGAACTCCAACTGACAGCGGATGTCAGCGCCATCTTCTAATGGCGATAGCAATAGCAAGGGCGGCTCCTCACACCCCAGGAAACATCACACAAATTGGTTATCCAATAGCAAATACTTAGTAATGAAAACATATGCACAAATCATATTGTACAGATTTCAAAGGTTGTATTTGTGTATTCAGGAATATAAATGTATAATTATATATGCATATAACAAAAATTAATACAAAGAGAAGCCATAAACTGAAAAAGAGCAAGGAAGTCTATATAGGAGGTATTGGAAGGAGAAAGAGAAATGGGAAATGATATAATAATGTTAAAATTCTAAGTATATAATATTCCAAATAAATGTATAACTAGATATTGTGTAGCAGAATTAACATGTCAAGAAAGTCTACTAGTGTAGAAAGGATCAGTGATTTATCTAACTTATGTGTATTTTGTGAGGAACTACTGAGACTCTGTGTTATTGAAACACTAGGAAAAGATAGGACATTTGTATGTCTTTCTCTGAAGATGATATATTTTTATGGCTTTGATTCAGTATTAAAATATGCATATGTTCAAGCAAATACATGTGCAATTATGTAAATATATGCATATATATACTTCGGCACAGGACTAGAAGTTCAAAGCAGTCTGGGTATAAGGAAATGTGATACGGTATTTCAGAAAAGCAATAAAATAATCACCCAAGAAAACAGGAAATGGTTAAAGGGAAGCCAAGTACATTTGTGTTCCTAGAGTTGGTGGCAAGACTGACAGGCCTGGGGTGGAGAAAAGAAAAGAGCTAACAATGCAAAATGAGATCCTATGAGATGGTGAATATGCTGCACTTTTTTGGCAAAGAAAATAGTGAGTTCAGTAATCTTTCAATATTTGGACAACCACATCTCTATATATGAGGGTATAATTTTGGACATTTTCATTTTGTTCTGTGGTAACCTTTTCTCGTGTTTTCAAGACAGTGTTTTTCTGTGTAGCCCTAGCTGACCTGACACTCAGTTTGTAGACCAAGCTGTCGCCAAACTTGCAGAGATCTGCCTGCCCCGGCCTCTTGAGTGCTGGGATTAAAAGAGCATGCCAGCACTGCCCTGCCTGTTGTAGCTTTTAATACGTTTGCAACACTTGTTTATGGCTTAAAATATCCTCATACTACCAACAGGCAGATTTACAAACTAAAGCAAAATTTTCTTTTTCTTATTTGAAAATGTTTCCTTAAATTGAAGACTGATCTTCATTTATTCATATCAGAGCAAAAACATATACGACTAAAACTTTTTCTCCATGTATTTAAAAAATTTATATTCCCAAGCTTAATGATGGCATAGAATGAAGCCCTTGTGTGTGTGTGTGTGTGTGTGTGTCAGAGAGAGAGAGAGAGAGAGAGAGAGAGAGAGAGAGAGAGAGAGAGAGAGATTGTTGTGTGTGTGCACATGTTGGTTAGTATAACAAGTGTGTATAATTGTGAAGGTAAGAGATCACAACTCTAACTTCCTATCTGTCCTATTTTGGGACAGATTCTTCAAAAGATATGTTTCAGTTACACTGACTGGCCAATTAGCTTCAGGCAGCCTCCTGTGTCTGTTCAACCAGTACCTGGATTACAGGTGAATGCTGTCACTGTTCCTGACTCTAATGTGGGTGTTTGAGTTTTGAACTCAAACTTGTCTACTTGCTTAGCCAGCAAGTACTTTAGGCATTGAGCCATCTCAAGAAACCCTATAATAAAATTCTTTGTATAAAATATATTGAAATTGAAAATAATTACCCAAAATGTTGTACTTGCCCTATAAACATCTCAAATTAAAACAGAAATAATTTCATTGTCTGAAACACTTAAATACGTTAGTCAAAAAGAAAATTGTTACAGACTATTAGTTGAAGATGTACTACATTTGTTTATGCTGTGAAACTTTTCTTTAATTATGAAAGATGTATTGCATTCTTTTATGTTGCATTTCTTTAACTCTGTGACAATGTAATACTTTACTTTTTTAAAATACCTAATTGGTCTATTGATGGGCTGAATGGCCAATAGCAAGGCAGGAGAATGAATAGGCAGGACTGGGATGTAAAGAGAATGAATAGGAGGAGAAATTTGGGGAAAGAGGGGAGAAATAAGAAAGAAGAAAAGCAAACACCAGGGATCAGCCACCCAGCTTCAGAGCAAACCATAAAGTAAGAAATAAAGAAAAGATATACAAAAAATAGAGAAAGGCAAAATCCTAGAGGCAAAAGGTAGATGGGATGATATAAGTTATGAATAGTTGGCTAGAAACGAGCCAATGTAAGGCCACTCATTCATAAATAAAAATAAGCCTCTGTGTATTTGCTTGGGAGCTGAGTGGCAGGACAACCAAGACCAAAGAGTAAAAGTAAAACATAACCAATTACAGAAACCAGAAACTGCTAGTAG